AAAAAAGCCCAGTAAACTACCATATATGTGTTTTACGGTTAACTACTGTAATATGCACTGCATTATGGGTATTTTTATGCCCTTTACAGTAATTTACTGTATATGGGAATCTGCGGTACTTTACTGTTTGCTCAAAAGCAGTAGTGCTACTGTAAATTGCTCTGCTGATGAAAAACAGGAATCTGCATTCTCAATTTAATGTCTGGGTAAGCACAAGTGTGGTGAAATAAATGTATTTTTAAAATGATTAAAAAATAAAATATATAAACTTTGCTTACACCCCACAAAATTTTTATTTTATTTCCCGCGCAAAGCCCGCGCAACAACCTTGCAGAGGTTATATAAACTGAGGCTTGTGTCCGGTGCGTGCATAATGGACTTCCCCTCTGAGTGAATCGCCAGATGTCAACTGCGAGTTTTCCTGTGGTAAGTAGCCTACTTTTCACTTACTTTTAAAACGTAAACCATTACAAATATCAATGAAATTAAAAAAATATGAACAAAGTAAATATAAATTCTAATTATAGTCTATTACTAGGACAGTCTGAGGGAAATGTTCGTTTTCCTCAAAAACTGCCGCTTTCATGAAACTCATTCAATTGTCCTTCAACTGACTGACTGCCTTTTCCAGAACAGATGTCTAGTATTTACATGAACAATGATTTTTCGATTTTTTTACTGCTGGTTATGGTATATTTTACTCGTCAGTTAAATGAATACCGTTAAATGTGTGACGTCATTTGAAATAGCACGCGCGCTCTCTCTATCCCGTGCGCGTTCTCTCTCGCGCTCTCTCGTAAATAAAACATTTACTCCAGTGCATATACCAGAGAAAAAATATATATATTCAAGTAAAATTATAATAAATGAATTCAAGAAAGAAAATGCATTCTTTATTATGGCTTCTTGTTTGTTAACAGAAGCAAGGTCTCATCAAAGTCAGTATACTCTTAAGTTTCATATTAATTATTTTTTACATTTTATTGTATATATTCTCTTCGCTCTTTTTTCAGTGTTGATTGTAATCTGATTGTGTAAGTGATCAATCTAGCAGTCATTCTAGATCTATGATTTATCATGTTCATAACATACAGTGATTAGTCAATAATCACTGACGAAAAATTATGATTCTTATTTTTCTCTCTTTTGCTTGTTTCAGCAGGAGCTAACTACACCCCAAAGGCTATTTTAGGAGCCACAGCACTGAGCATCTTTGGCTTTGTAAGTATGTTTTAACTATCAGCTGCAGTATGTGACATTATATTAATTGCAGCTATGACAGAAATGTCTGAGATAGATATATATATTTATATGATCAAGCATCCCACACCGGAGATATGCAATGTCTCTCTGATGTTTCCTTTTTTCCTCCCTTTTTCTTGTGTCAGCAGGAGCCAACTACACCCCAAAGACTCTTTTAAGGACTACCTATCACGGCACCTTTGGCTTTGTAAGTTTATATATATATATACAGAGGGGGGAAAAGAATTTTGAGAGCGCCCCATTGTGCGCGTGTT